GCGAACTTCCGCGGCACATGTGTTTCATTGTTTGCTTCCGCAAACCTTCCGCGGGGCATGGTTTACAAGTTTTGCTTCCGCGAGCATTGGCGCAGAAAGGAAAGTCATTTTAAGTGAGGTAGTGTTCCGCCGCAGCTTGTGTAGGCTTGGGCTCCATTGGGCTACCCATGCTACTTGGCCGCTTGCCTGCAAACACGGGGCCACCCTTCCGCGGAGCTTCCGCGAAGCTTCCGCAAACCTTCCGCGAAGTACGCCGGCTGTTTTGGCCTCCTTGGCTGCTGTTAGCGTTGCGTTTCTTGTACGCAGCAACACCTTTTCGTCTACTGGAATTGTTTCTCTGAGCTTTTCCATGCACGCGCTGAAACATTTAGTTGTATATCAGCCACCAAGCTTCCGCAAACCTTCCGCAAACAAATCTCTTCCGCGAGCCTTCCGCATGCTTCCGCGCGTGTGGCGCGGCGCACATTTTCAATAATAATGTCCCTCTCCCCACTAAATAGCTTGCGGGTAAAAAATAAAAATAAAAAAACGCCGCCCACATGTCACGCCGAGAAGGAACAAAAGACCGGGTAAACTTGGAGTGTCTTATCCTTACTTTCAAAGTGAGAATTCGTTGAAGCCAATTGACAAGAAGGTACACTCTGTGCAGGCCTTATCATCCTCAGAGCGGGAAAAGGCACCTTCAGCAAGGAGCCACAGGTATTCATCGTGCGCCTTGTACCGCACGTCAGACCCTTTACAACAAGCCAGAGGGTCCACGCACCTCTTGAGAATGGCTCTTGAAGGGTCAAAAGGGTCTAAGTGCCTCCTTAGAAGGTACTTGGACCCTCTAGGTAAATGAATGGCGAAGCGGCCAATGTCAACGTTAGGCACAACTCCAAACAGTTTCTTTCATGACGACTTCCTCTCACAATCACAGAACAGGTAATCCTCAGCCCGTGACACCTGGAAAGTGTCGTTCATACAAAAGTAGCACTTGTTCATTCCAAACCCCAAAGAGAGGGTCCCCCCCAGCAATAACGGCACTGAACATATTAGCCCTTCCTGGGAACACGCCCCTCCTGTGAGAATATAAGTGGGATGTCCAGCCACACGGCTACGATCGCAAGAAAGCTTCCCAGGATTCACCGGTACCCTGAAGACTACGTTTTCTGTGCCACCGTCAAAACTCTAAAAAATCCACTGAAAACCAATTTGCCCTGCTCAGACTACTTGGCCCAGCCTTCTCCCTCAAGCATGGTGGTAGGAAATAGCAAGTCTGTGATACCAAGCTTGTTGATTCTGGCGGCTGTCCTGTCACTTGAAAGGGGATCCCGTTGTCACGGAAAGTGGCCCCAAAAAGCCATCTGCAATGTTTGCAATAACTCCAACCTTCAGCAACCAAGAGGGTTCCTGATACAAAGAGGTACTCACTCAACCCCCCTTTTTTTCATTCGAAAGCCATCCTAAGGCAGGGACCCTGGGTAAGGGATGCCCGACGACCTTTCCCATCTCGCTGATCCCTCCATTGCCCTTGTCTTCCTTCTGGTTTCTCTTTACACCAACACAAGCTGGGCAGTTCAAACTGAAGCCAATCTCGATCCATCCCTCGCAAAGCGGACCAAATCCTTGCCGGAAAGGGTCTTGCAGATTGCCTTTGAAACACAAAGGATTGTCCCAAAAGCACAACTGGGCCCTCACCCATGAAAAACGGGTCCTGCCATCCAAAATGACTCTTGCCATCCAAGATGAGTGGATGGCCCAAAACAAGTCCAAACTTAATATGCACCACTAAAATGGTCTTCCCAAAAAGCTTAAAGTTCATGAACTCAGGAAGTGAGCGTTTGAAGGGTAGTGCTTTCGAATCCAACATCCGTTTCCCGCAACCCAAGCCCGCTCACCGCTCCTGGCGCACCACGCTCAAGCTGGTCTCCGTCTCTGAGAGGCGCGTGCGCACCTGCCGGAAATCCGGGCTTCCTTTTGGGGGCCGCAGGCGTTCACATCGGAGGGTCCCAATGTTGACCCCAAATTAAACCCCAGCTTGTGACTAGGGGGGTGGCGTTTGGCCCCTCCAAAAGTCATGCTTCCCCTCTAAACAGGGGTTGAACAATATGTGGTCAACAGTACCAGTACAAGTAAACCAACCGAAAACTCAACCACGAACCACGGGAAACCACTGGTGAAGAGGTTGTCTTTTTTGTCCTTTGCTTTTGCCAAATGGGCAACTACCACTCCTTTGTTGACACCCAAGTGACTCAGCCACAACAAAGAACCTGTTTATTTGGAGGTGATTAGCGGGGTCCTGGAAGCGCCCCTATGGCAATATTTAGGGCATTGTGCAATGCAAAATGATCGAAGCAAAACAACAACACATGGGTGTGCCTTTTGTTGAGGGTACCCTGTTCGGGTTCGTTTAAGGGGAAATGGTTTCCCTGATTTTGAGACAAACTCGTATGGAAAGTTCACACCGTTCTGCACAAGGTTTGGATTGGGACGGCCATCATCCCATTGAAGCCTTAAGCCTCACTTGAAGGGTACTCTATGCGCACTGCGCTGGCTGCTTCCCTGGCGCGGATGTCTCTTAGTTTCAAGTACAAACACCGCGGAACTCGAAGAATGAGTCAATCCGAGCTGCGAAGAGATCATGGTCCCCAGCAACATTGTTTAGGCTTCCAAAGATACTTGCTCGCGGACTGGATCATGTTCCATCTGATTTTGGTTGAATCAACGTCATCCGCAAATCGGATCCTGGACTTCGAATCAACAAACAAAACAAGGATGCTCCAAGTGGTAGAACATTGACACCTGTCAAAGAACAAACAACACAACCCTCGAACTAGTTTCTGAAACACGTGGCCCCTTAGGCGTGGAATAACTGCATGGATTCATGACTCAAAGGCTGTGCAAACCACTGGGAGGGTACTCCCAAGAGGGTGGTCTACAGGAAGACCGCAAAGAAATCACCCATGTTCGGTTCCTTGTATTGACAAACCCACGTAGGCATCTGTTCCCGGCTGGATAAAGCATCTTAGAGATATCTAGCTTGGGCCAAGCCCTTGTTCCAACATGTTTAAGCACCCCTTACTCGAATAACCTCTAACCTCCTCTTGGTTCCCTTTTGCGGCCACCTTCCCCTTTGCGATGGACCTGCAATGCCCCTTTTTGCGAGTTCACCTGTAAGCCTCAAGCTCTGCAACACGGGCACCCAAATTCCGTGGCCACTGGAAGGAACCATGTCAGGCTGTCCGTATTTCCTGAAGCCAAAGCACTTGCCCATTTTGTTGAACTGCATATTTTCACCGTGTCTCATTTGGGCGTGTCAGGAAAGATCCCCCAACCTTTGCTCGTCCACAGGTGCCCTCATGACGTTTGGACCATTTGGCTGTTTTTGTTGACACTGGACATTGTTTGGAGACGGGATTGGATTGCCAGTTTTTTCGTGCGGACATTGGGTTGAGCCCGATGCAAGAGTGGTTAGCACTTGATCAAGCTAGCCAGGCAGGTCCAAGAGAAGTGAATATGACCCCCCCCAACAAAAAAAATAAACACGTGATTCCAGAGTCATGGACTCAAGCGCTAGGTTCAAGCTCCACAGACCCGGAGGCACCTGGTCGAGGTGCTTCTCAAGGTCATCTGCCAGCAGCTGCAGGTGCGCCACATACTGGCAGGAACCGCGAGGGCGCGGGGATCCCGCGAAACCCGGGAATGCAGTTGGGAAGGCAAGCCTGTTGTGCCCTGATTGAACAGAAAACCCAACCCATAGGAGCCCAAGACGTTTAGAATGTAGGGCCCAGTGGTGTTTGACTCCCAAAGACCTCAAACAAGGAGGCCCAAGGGGCCCTAGGAAATTGAGAGCCAAAGTTTGGGGTGTGGCAAAGGGCCCTGAACCGATCTTGGTTCCAAGGTGAAGGCCGCAACACACCGTGGGATCCTTCAAGGAAGAGGGTATGCCCTTGATATTGAAAGAAAGCTCGCACGAAAACTATGTTGAATTACCATTTGTAATTCTAAACAAATCAAAGTATGCTGGCCAAGCCAGTACCCTTTCGCAGCCTGAACAAATGAACACAATCATATAACAAATCAATCGCATCAGCAGCCACCCGCCGAAGACCCCCCGGAAGAAGAGGCTCTGAAACTTACAGATAAACAAGTGTCTTTATTTGAGGTACCCTTTTTGGATGGTTTCTAAAAGCAGTAGAGGGTTGGTGCCTTCAGAAGTCCGGATTCCCTCATGCAGCACTTTTATTATCAACCAGCAGCCAAGAAAAAGCCGGACTACCGTTGGGCTGTTAGTTTGGAGCATTGAAGACTACATACCATTTGAGGGCTGTTAAACATGGGCTCTATTACTCCTGGTTTCGCATAAATCGGTTCCTGCCAGCATGCTCACGACACATCACTCGCAGCCGCTTCAAGTGGATGACGTGAACTCAGACTTTTGCCATGCAAAGGTCGCGCGAAGTATTTCCGCGGCGAAGGGTCGGATGAATTTGCTTTGGTGCTTGGCTGAGGCCGGCAGGAAGATTCGGTGCCTTTTCAAGAAACAGGGACCCCTGAAACTGGTTGGTGCAAACAGGTAGCCTGCTTTTTGGTTTCAAACGATTTTTGCTGGCTGGTCCTATTGTGCAGCTTTGCTTCAATTACAACAATGAATTGAATTTGTGGAAAATCAGTACAAGTAAGAAGCCATGCAATTCCAAACACGTCCTAATAGGCCTTCCTATAGTGTCACTGCTCTCAGTTGGGAAAACTCTAAGGCCCCCCCCCAACCGGGCCCAAGAAAGGTTCTCAGAACCCCAGAGCCATATGGCTTATGTCTCTTTCACATGGCTTCAGCCGCGCCACGAGCAGCACCGAGATAGAGAAAACCGATGGCCGTTTTCCGAGCAAGCGCCGGAAGGCGGGAAACGGGATCAGCGAGCACGGAGCCGCGATCTCAAAGCTCCGAAGCGGGTTGGTCAAAGGGGGTTACCCAATTTGATGTTCCACCATTCTTCGCAATGGTGTTGGGCCGCCAGCTACTCACAAGAGAAACCACGACCATCTGGCAGGAGTAGGGCTTGTTGCGACACATTTGAGGCATGTAAATGGGACCAACTAGGAACACACACTTTCTGGTGTACCCCCAAAATACCCCAAACATAAATTGAATGGTCAAGGGCTCTTTTTGCGTGGAGTGAATGCCCACCCCTTCCATACATGGGGTGGGAGTGTACGCGTCAAAACCAGCTCGGATGTGTTTGGGGGGCGCTTTTGAAGACGCAAGTAAAATTCCCTCTGCAACATACTATATACTGCTCACAACAATGTGGTGTTCCTTCCAAAAGCGTCATTGCATGCATCCGCAAGGCAATATGGCTATGTCGAACGTTCTCACCAAGCTGCGTCTCTCTTGTGCATAGGTGCTTGCTTATGCTTGGTTTACGCTCCCTCCAACCACGAAAGCTGACAGGAAGCTGTAGAAGACTTCTTTCCTTTTGGGGACCTGCCTTCCCACTTTCGTGTTGAGAATGAAAGAGAGTATCCATGGAAGCAGGTCGTTGGTACATGCGCTGATTCACACTCTTTACGCACCAGTTTGTCTTACCCCCACCCCCCCTCCCCCCCTTTACCGTCTTCCTCAAACAAACACCCTGAGGGATGGATTTTCCTTGCCTCTTAGCTTTACCGCGGATGTTTTGCCTTGGTCCGCTATAGTGGAAGACTGAATCATCTGGAGAGGTTGTCCCGAGAAAAATCCTGCACATCGCCAGGATCTCAGAAGCCAAGACTGCCATGGGGAATAAGGGCCACGTTTTGTGTGTTATCCGGACCGAGCCTCGAAATATACTTAACATTTTGGAGCATTGCCCCAACATTATGGTTGGTGATTTCCCCTATGTGAGGGTAGTTTGACGGTCCAGGTAGTTGATTTTACAGGGGCACACCCCATCCTGACAAAGACATGAAAGGAAGAAACCCGCTGTTTGTCCAAGTGTTTGTGAACACTGGGTGCTTTACATTTCAAGTCCTTCACTGCAAGATGAACAATCATGGAAAACAGGACACATCAAGGAAGCAAAGTGTCTGCTGCAACATGGGAAACCACCATTAATCCAGCATGCGGGCAACATATATATATATATATACACATATAACATGTGCGGACATAACCCAACTTTAAGGGTAACGAGGGCAGTGCTTGGCATGCTCCAGAGACGCATTTGTGTCGATACCTATTTGTGTCGTCTACCCCAGGCCATGTGCACAAATCCAGAGGGCGGATACCTAAACTTGTGTCTAGCTGGCACTGTTTTCTAGATAACCTTCACCCACCCGGGTTTTGATGTTGGCCCATCTGCGTCAAAACTGGAGGACCCCCCAAGTCTCTGATTATCTTTTCAATTGGTTTCGTTAGACTGCGTTAAGCAAGGGCAGCGGGGGGAAAAATACATCACATCCACCTGCCGCGTGTTCAGCGGCGCAGCACGTTTCGCCGCAGCAGCGCCAGGTTTTGCAACGCAGTGGCGCGGGGAAGGTGCCTGGCGACTCGGGCGACGGATGACATCGGTTTGTCTACTCCTGCCTTGCGAAAACAACTCCCTCCCCACCAAACCACCCTCGACAAAAAGTGGAAGAGACCAAAACCACAGCAAAAGTAATCTTGTGTTTGCAGAGTAGGAGCAACTCTGTGATCCCTTGTTTAGGGGAATCCGCTTTTGGGGGGATATCGTAGAAGGGGTTCGAAGGGAGTCTTCCAACCTTTGCTCCAGTCCCCAATAAGAACAAAATGTGGGCTTGTAGCCACGCCTTTGGTTTTGAATGGGCGAATGAAAACACAAAATGCCCACGTCTTTGCCAGGAATTGCTGAGCAAAGCAAATAAAAGCATCAGGTGTAAACTTTGGGCTGCCCCCCCCACAACCAGCACCAGTGAATGGTGTTCTTGGGGCACTGGAAGTTCTAGAAATAACATCATTCTTCGAAGGACACCTTCTTTCCGGAACCCGCCAAACGTCACCACAAAGTTTGGGGGGGGGGGGGCAGCCGGGCCAGGTTTTGTAAATAACGATGATTGAAAAGATGGACCCACAGGGCCGTGGATCCCCCAACGCCGCGTGTGTGTCTGTGTGTAAAGTTTGATTGGGAAGCCCTTGGTGGACATGGGAATTGTTCAACAGCTGTTGACCGGACTCCCCATTGAAAAATACTGGCCATGGGTCCATAACAACCCTTGCCATGATTTTGAAGGGACCCAACATGGTAGACATTTGTCGATTTATGTCCACCAACTACATATGTTGAAAGTCCCCCATGAAAATTAATGGCCTGACTGTGTGCGTGTCTGTCTGCGTGTGTTGGGTGTTTTGGTGTGTTGCGCGCTTTCGTGTGAGTGTGCTTTGTGTGTGTTGTGTGTGGTGCGTGGTGTGTGTGTGTATGTGTGGTGCGTGTGTGTGTGTGTGTGGTGTGTGTGTGTGTGGTGTGTGTGGTGTGTGTGTGTGTGGTGTGTGTGGTGTGTGTGTGGTGTGTGTGGTGTGTGGTGTGTGTGGTGTGTGTGTGTGGTGTGTGTGGAGTGTGTGGTGTGTGTGGTGTGTGTGTGCTGTGTGTGTGTGTGTGTGTGTGTGTGTGTGTGTGTGTGTGTGTGTGTGTGTGTGTGTGTGTGTGTGTGTGTGTGTGTGTGTGTGTGTGTGTGTGCGTGCGTGTGTGTGTGTGTGTGTGTGTGTGTGCGTGTGTGTGCGCGTGTGTGTGCGGAGTGGCAGAAAACCCTGCCACCAAAACCTTTTTCTGTTGCAGCAGGGGCGTGTGGCACTCTCATCCTACCACACGCAATGAAGCTGTGGGTGAGAGTGGGAAGCAAGGCCTGATCAGCCTTGTGTACCTGCACCTTTTGAGTGATTCTGAAAGTCTTTTTGGCCCTCTTCTTTGCCGCTGTGTGTGCTTCATGTTGATTCTGTAACGTTTTCGCCTCTAGAGGGAAACCGAGTGCTTTGCGAGCCGAAACTCATCCTACTCGAGACTTGTCAGTTGTACTCGAGACTCATCAGTTGTACTCGAAAGATTAGCACTCTCCATCTGGAGTTCAAGTGTGTGTGTGGTGTGTGTGGTGTGTGTGTGTGTGTGGTGTGTGTGGTATGTGTGGTGTGTGTCTGTGTGGGGTGTGTGTGGGGTGTGTGGGGTGTGTGGTGTGTGTGTGTGTGGTGTGTGTGGTGTGTGTGTGTGGTGTGTGTGTGTGGTGTGTGTATGGTGTGTGTGTGTGTGGTGTGTGTGTGTGTGTGGTGTGGTGTTTGTTTGTGTGTGTGTGTGTGTTTGTGTGGTGTGCGTGTGTGTGCGAGGGTACCTGAACCCTCAAACTACCCATGAAAATGGAACATCGCACCATGATTGTGCGGCAAAAAACCTAGCTTTACCAGCTTCTTTTTAGTGACCTCAAATGGCGACCACTTAGACAAAATTAATCAAGGCCACTTCCCTGAGTGTCGAGGCCGTAGGTGGCTTTTTTTGTTGCTTTTGAAAATCGCACATTTTTTATCCTGGAGCGTGCAAAGCAGTATTCTCAAGCGAGCCTGTAAACAAAAGCATGGCCAAACGAAGTGCAGGTAGCGGTTCTCACATTATTATTGAAACGTGAGTGTCAATTCGTGTCATTTGAGTGTCGCTTGGTGGCGAATGGAGGTCACTTCGGTCACGAAGAGGCCACTTTACTGCCGTGTCGACTAGAACGTTTGAGTCTTTCCAGTGTCGCCGCTTGCTCGTCAACAACTGTGCCCAGTTTACATTAGCTTGGGCTCAAATGTGCACTCTTCAAGGTAGCCAGGACCACTAGTTTCTGAGCGGCGATTCTGTAGACGAAGTGGCCTTAATCTCGCTTAAGTGACCTGTTGAAATTCAGCTAAGCGACCTCTTGGGTGAAACGTGAGTCGCAACCCTAAACAGCAAAAGAGGTCACTCAAAAGATGGTAAGTTCAACTTGGGGGGTCCAGATGATGTTCATTGGTTGAAAGGAACACCATAGAGCTGCAAGGTCCCCCGATTTGAGCCATACTTTGTGATTGCGAGTTTCAGTGAACCATGTTAAGCACAATTTGTCCCAATACAAGATGTTGGGTGTAGGATAGGCCTCCGAGCGAGACCCAACTTGTGCTTTCAAGGACCGATCTAAGGTGGATCGGTAAAGAAAAGACCCAAAGGCACTAGGTCAACCCCCTGGAAAGGTTCGGCGACTTGAGAAGAGGTGCGGATCGAAGTGTTCTCGAAGCTTTAAACATGTATCTCCAATGATGTCTCCGATTTAAATGGCCCATCCAGACCAAGCGAAACCTTGCAGCGAACAAGTTGCGCGCCGAACATTGGCGACCACATCCGCGACCGCTGCCGCAGCTGAGAAAAGAAGAGTCGGTGAACCGTAGCTGCATTTTCAACCGGGAAGCACCCGAAAGGCTTTTCTGAAGCTGTGCGGTGCTGAATTGGAGGGTCCGGGAACTCCAAAGGAGGGGTCATGAGTCTTTGTCTAGGTTATAACCACAAGCTAGCTAGCACCCAAACTCGGGAACGGCGTGCACTTTTTATTTTCATCGCAATACTGAGGCGTTCTTTGCTAGGTCCTGGTCGATGTTGTCAACCGCCGGAAAGAACGCTCCCATGACACTAACGAGTCAAAATCAAGCCACGCCTGCCAGGCAGCTCCAAGCTGGATATCCCGAAACTGAAAACCGGTTCCACACTTTCGTTATCTTCCGAAGAAAGGCATGGGCTCAGCATTTAGATATACTCTTGAATCATTTCAGCGGTGAGTTGCTCAGCCTGCGATGTCTATTCCAGCAATACCTTCAAGGCTGGCAAAAGAAGCCGGGCAAAAGCTTTTGCAAACGGCAAGCGGTGAGCAAGCGTCCGCTTAGCGGAGTTGTCCACAGGCAAAAGCACGCGGTGCAGCGATACCTTCCGCCTTCCAAGAAACCGATGTTGGGTCCTCCGAGCCTATCCAAGTTCTCCAATGGAGTCAGGAGTCTTTGGCTAGGCATTTTAGACATAAGCTAACTAGCATTTATAACCATGGCTAATGAACTTCTTACTTGGACATCCAACTACATCTGCAGCCCAAATTCGGGAAACGCATGCACCTCAGTTCATCGCAGTGGGGCGTTCATTTGGCTCTTGCCAACCACGGAAAAAGAACGCTCCCATGGAACTAACGAGTCAAAATCAAACCATGCCTGCCAGGCAGCTCCAAGCTGGGGATCCCGAAACTGGTTACAGATTTTGGCAGGTGACCTGACCCTGTTTGTGGATCCCCCGTGCAACTAGTCTTTGGCGGAACTCGAAACATTGGCCGTTGCGGCCTGGCGAAAGCCTCAAAAATTGCTGGCGCCACTTATCTGGATGATCGCCGATACCCGGCAGAAGTTTGGGGCAAGCACAACAAAGGACCCGACACATGGCCCTATGGAGGGCACGCAGATTCATGCACACAACTCAGCATACCAAAATGGCCAACAAATTTGGATTTGGAGGCCCTCATGTTTTTTGTGTCTGCTCAGCATTTGGATAACTAGTTCATTTCAAGTGGCGCAGCTTCTTAACACTCTTTATTCCATTGTTGCCTTCGGGGCCGCAGGCAACAGCTAGCTTTCGGACACAAGCCTCAAGCGGATGGAGCAAGCCTCCGCTTAGCGGAGTCTGAAAAGCTATGAGGATTGGGCCGCCTATTGCAGCGAAATACATTCAGCCAAGGAACTCTGGAAGTGAGAACCTCTGCTCGAAGCACCTATTGGGGCCATGAGACCTAGCCCCGAAAAAAGCTCATCATGCTCTGGCGGAGAGTGGGTGCCTTGATGCCGCTGAGGCAACTCAGGCACTCAGCCGCGGAGGGTCGGCAGGCTTGAGATTGGTGCCACGCCTCTGGCAAGAACGCGCGCCTAAGGGAAATGACTGCGCAGGTCATGGATTTAACGGGGCACCCCAGATGATAAGCCCGTGGTTGATTACTAGGGAGGTGCCGCCCTTTCATGGGAGTTCCTCACTTCTGAAAAAAGACACCCCCCTATGAATGGGAAGAGTTGACTAATCCGGGGTAAACATCAAACCCCAACCCCCCCTTCCCTCGGTGTCCTCCGTGTCCTCATTGGGAGGAAGCCCAAAGGGAGGCGTTGTTGGAATGCGGGTTGGGGCAAACGAACCTCGCAACCGGTGTATGTTTGAAAGGAAGACCAAACGAGACGCACTCAACCTTGCATGTGTAAACACGCCCAAATGGATCAAGGCTGATTGCCTCAAGTGCAATCAAAAAGGGTGTACACCAACTTCCAAACCACGTCATACACATTGAATACTCCATCGTGGGCAAAACCTCCGAGCGTTCATAAAACTAAAAGCGCACAACAACAAAATAATTTGCCAGACCACATGGGGTCTGCCATGTTGTCAGCTTTGTATGTCTATGTGTTTGCTCTGTGTTTTTTGGTGATTGGTTTGTTACTCGAGGATTTGTCCTTTGCTGAGAAAGCAGTGAGCAACTTGATTTGTCAAAAAACAACAACACCCGAAAT